CAGATTTTTCTTGTACACTTAATCAAAGCTCTTAAAATTCTTCCCTAATTTTCCCCTTGTCGATCTTGTTGACAATAGTGTCATAGTGGCACATCTTCAACAACAGCCAGTATACAGTGTCTTTTTTTGTATTTTTCATTTTGTTCTTAAATTTTCTTTATATTTTCCTTTTCGGTTTTTTTTGCACTTTTTCTTTTTTTGTGACCAAAAAATTCTTCCCAAATTATCAGAAACTCAAAAGTATTCCTTTTGGACACTTATTAAGAAGAACATTTACCTTTTCTTAAAGGGATATAGTATTTTTTAATAAACCACATTTGTACTGCAGAATTGCACTTACGAAGCATAGCTCAGAATTCGGGCATAGATAAGTTTATGGTTAACCATGGCCACACTACTGTGAGACAACAGTTGTGGATTTCTCCAAGTAGTATTTACCCAATGAATATAGTGTGATGTCTTACATAAGTATAATCTAACATTTAATTCAGGTTGTATCAACTTATTCATTAGGCTGAAACATAATAGATTTTCAATGGATTTAGGACAGTTGCAGTTTTTCAAAATTGTACATATAAGTCTACTTTGTAAGGAAAGTGTTTCAGGTCACTTGATCATCTGGTTACCTATTTAAGAAAGTTACAAATGTGTTTTTACATGCTGAATACATCTTTAAATTTTCATATTTAAGTAATTTTTATTATAGAAGCAAATAGAAATATACGATGTGTTTTTACATGCTGAATACATCTTTAAATTTTCATATTTAAGTAATTTTTATTATAGAAGCAAATAGAAATATACGATGTGTTTTTACATGCTGAATACATCTTTAAATTTTCATATTTAAGTAATTTTTATTATAGAAGCAAATAGAAATATACGATGTGTTTTTACATGCTGAATACATCTTTAAATTTTCATATTTAAGTAATTTTTATTATAGAAGCAAATAGAAATATACAATCACAAAATAATAATCAGGTACCATAGATATGATGATTGTAATTAAATGCTAATGCACATTCCCAAAGAAATTACACGTCACATTGTTCACATGGATAACCAGCAATTCTTAAATGAACATTGCAATAGCAGTAATATGAACCGGGTAAATACACACTCCACATTTTCAAACGAGAAGGCATTAGAGCCTTGACATTCACTTATGCTATTTAATTAACCCTCTTGCTATGAGAATATCAAGGTGCATTTGCAACAGCTTCTTAGATTTAGACACAGATCAAAGTGCAATAAAATAGTAATATTAAGTATAAACAGATGTATACTTTTACGAGCTATAAACTATTTATGATAAACATTTGTACTTTCATGTTACAATCTGCAACCATTCTTGAAAGAAAAAATAGAAATTTAGATTTATTTTGTATTTTTTTATGGTTGTTACAAGGTTGGTAAAATCAACTGAATGCCTAGAGAGTTAGGGTAGAGAAAAATAATGTATAAAATATAAATTTTTACTGAAAAAACGTTTGATATTTATTTAGGAGGTTTAGAGATTATGCAAATTAAATTTTACAACTTTCAGATGAAGAAATGTATTTTTAGCCTTAAAATGAAAATCAGTTTGCACCCGGAGCAGTCAACATCCTGACTCCATATATTCATGTAGAAATATTTAGTAGAAACAATTAATTAAAAATCTGATTTTTGTGTATAAATGAGTTCTAAATGTTTACTGAAAGTATGCCAAACTTCATAAAGATAGACAAAACATATTAAAAGCTCTAGCATGGAAACCCTGATGGTTGCTTCAGGGTTACGAGTTTGGTCAATGTTGACCATGCCCTTAGTGAGGGGGTTAAGAGCAGATGCATAAGTAACAGTTAAGTTCAACAGACTGACTTCTATTTCTGGTCAGCTGTCCTACGTTAAGAATGGCTATGTCAGAGACTTGAGATCTCTGAATTGGCTATGTAACCCATATGTAGTCCATTCATGATGAAAATACCATGAAAGTAAATATACTAACTATTCAATAAATATTTACAATGCAAGCAGTTATTAATGTGTTAGAAAAAATATTACTAACTAGGAAACTATATATTGAAAGAATAGTATATAAAACTAGATATTTGTCAAATGTTTTCAGGACATAATTTTTGAACAATCTATATACTTCAGTAATAATTCATTTTACATCATAATTTCCAAGTTTTGAACTTTGAAAAATACTTTTAATGAATGTTTAAAATGACATTGATAGGATGTTTAATATTTCTTTTGCTTTTGAAACTTACTCAACTTTAAGTTTTGCTTGGTTTCAGAAATTTCTAATCCTCCTGTAAGCTGGTGTAAAATAGAGGTAAGTTTTGTATGTGTATGTATATATCTATAGTTTGAATGATATGTAATAGAGGGTTGACTATGCTATTGTTGCGTCAGCGAGGTCACGTGACTAGTATCATGCCACCTGTTTCTAGAAATATCCTGTTCCTTCAAGAATGCCCTAGCATTTACTAGATATGTGTTAGTCTTGTATATATAAGACGTTCACAACGTGACGGGAACAATGTAATGAGTAACTGAAGATATGCGGACAAAATATTGTTGGCCACGTGAGACGTGAATTATAGTGTTTGTTATAGAGCGACTGTTGAAATTAAGTGTATCGTAAAGTTGTATTCGGAAAGAATAAACCAGTTTTATTTAAGAAAGGACTTGTGTCACTAAAGTTTCGTCGGAATGAATTTACGGAAAATCAATTAACAAACGGAGATGTAACACTATATTAAAACAATTTTGGCCTTATGGGAGTTAGCATGAATACCTCTTTCATTTTCCTGAGATATGCAATGGTTGAACAGAAGATATGATTGGAAGCCTTATCTTGTTGAACTGTACCCTGTTGGTCTAATTTCCAAATGGAAATTCTTTTTAACTTTTTTGAGTATTGTTACCTGGCACACACAGACATTTTTTGCCAACGACCTTTGGGTTTGTGGATCCTTACATGTTACAAGATGCCACACTTTGCTTACCATGTCTGGGGTATGAATAGTTGTAGGTCTCTTTCTGGAAGGCCCTGGTGTCCCAGATTGATCCATATTCCTTTGTTTTCTGATGCTATTAAGTACGAGGGATATTCCCATCATGGAAATTTTAAGTTCCTCAATCTCAACACATCCTTATGACCTGAATATTTTGTGTCAGACAGGGTTTTTACATACCCTTCTCAAAAGCAATCCATTTTTGGTAACATCAAACTACCTACAAAATGCTAAACAATGTCAAAATCTACTTCTGATACATGGCATTCCACCATGAATTTATGTCGCCTGCGGTTGTCATGTGACTTACTGATCTGCATATTCATAATTGTTTTAATATAATATACTCAAACCTCTAGGCCATTTAGCAGTGATTAATTTTATTGATTATTTTAGTAGTATTCAATGTTTTTAACCATGTTGGTCATGCATTACATCTACGTGTGGTGACATTGTGTAGTCAGTGTGTGTTAATGAACATTTATTGATTTGACAATTAGTCTAAACCAAATTAGTCATCAAAGAGCATTAAAACTTATAATAATAAACTTGCAAGTTGTCTGTGTGTTATACCAAAATATTAAGTTCTCTGTAGTTATGATGTATATCTCATTTCATCTGAGATTGGAAGTGGAATAATAACCTCTATATATATAACTGTATGATATTACTACTTTATAGTTGAATACAGGGGAGAGTTGTGTATGGATCCATTTTTTTAATAGAAGAAAAAATTCTTAAAATTTAAACAAGAAGTACTTTAAGACCTATAAGTTAAAACTTTTCAGTCAAGAATGCTATAGAATAAGAAGTTATTGAGTAAATGAAAAAGTTATAACAAATGTGCAACAAACATTTATCTTCTTCCGTACTGGTCTCCGTCTCGTTGGCTTCCGCTTCATATGGGGTTCATCTGCTTCATCAGGAAATGTTCTATCATCGATAACAGTCACATCAGTGGTAGTAACTTCATCAAGAGCTTCACCGTTTCCCTTCTCAAAACTGGGCAGAGTTTCTTCTTCGATGGTGGCTTCTTCAGGTGACACATGTTCAGCAGCGTCATTTGTTCTGTTGTCCACT